ACACTTTGGGACTTAAGTGCTATGGTTGGTTTTCTAGAGTGGTTGGTAGAATTCATCTTCCACATGTCCTTTGCTGAGCCTTACCGAGTTAATTTTAATTAATGCTCATGTGCAGTTAAAATCTGCAGTAGAGCTCTGAAACATCAGCCTGTAATGTGGAACAGGCACCAAGTGCCAAACTGAACACTTGGATAGAAATCAAAGAGAAATGCTATTAGGGATACATGCCTTCTCCTCCGGAGCTGCCCCTTCGCTGTTCCACTGACGCAACATTGCTTCACTGCCGTCTGGTATTGCAGCAAATGTCTTCACTCCACCAAATCCCTTTGCTCCCGAGCCCCAGGGACACAGCAGCAGTAACAGTGGAACAACTATAGGGACACAAAAAGTTGCCATTAACTATGTGATTATTAGGGCTGAAGCATGCTAACAGCCAGTACTGAAGCCTGGCCAGCTCCCACACCGAAATATATCTTTAATGAGTAAGTTATCAGCATGATGGCTGACAAGGACTGAAGACAGGTCCCCAAATATTCATGGCATTTCCTAGAGACATCTGCTAGGCTGGTTTCCTAGACAGTAAACTGATGATTAACATGTCAGGGCCTGAATCCTGCTGATGACCACACATGTATATAGCTGTATTTTGATTGAAGGTCTCAGATACCAAACCCAAGCCCTGAATATCACTGTACAACCTCAGCACTTTTAACTCCTTCTGTTCTTTTACTACTAGATAACAACATGGCGTAATGTAAATTCCGCCTCACCATTCCTTTGACACGCCTAAAGCATTGCCTGAGGAGCTCAAAATAATCTAGTTACAGAAGCAGAGCATACTATTCATGTGGCATGAACTGTTTTATCACAGTTAGATTGCTGCCAGCACAAGCAACAAACTACTGCCAGTTTACATGCAGCACTACTGCACATGGCCATACCTTGACTACAAGTATTCTTCTCTTTATTTTGAACTTCTATTTTGTCTCGCCAAAGAACAATGTCACGTGCTGCTCTGAGCAAGGCAGCAGACCTGAGACTGCAGTGACAGAGAAGATAGTGGAAAGTGCACTGTGGTTTGAGTGGGAAGAGTTAGGGTTCACATGGGCATGTGTGGAACACCAAAAGGATTCCTCACTGCTTCCCCACCTGTTATTTACAGCACCATAAACAAATATTAAAGTTGTTCATATTAATTTTAAAATGCACAACTTGAAATCCTTTGAGGTTGAAATGCTGATGTTACCAAAATTAGTTGGGGATCTGCCATGACTTCACACAAGACTAGGAGTTTACACAGAATACATCAAGATGATAAAACCTGCTTTATCTGGACTGTTTCTTCCCTGATGCCTTGCAGACCGTATTTACAGTGCTTCTGAGATAAAATGAAACCATTACTTACGCAGCAAAAGTAAAAACGCCAAGATGATTAGTGCAACTGCTGCTGGTCCTAGAACCACTGACTTAGCGCCAATAAATTTCTCTCTGCATACGCCGTCATCTGCACACTTACAAACAGTCAACTGCAGAGACTGTCGCGGAGCACAGCTCAGCCCTTGGAAATCCTTTATTAGGATGGGAACTTCAGTTCTGCCTGGCTTCAGGTCCTGTGGTGCAAGCTGTATGCTGGTGCCTGAGGCAGAAGGGGGGGAGGGAGTGTGGGGTTTAAAGAAGGAGAAATGACAAGAAATGAGTGGAGGGAAAGTTGACTCCTGTAAATTAAGTAAAATAAAACCTGCACAGCCTCCCAACAAAACTCCTCCAGTCAAGTACAGACAATGCAATGGAATTCAGTTTAATTAGCTGCTGCTACAGCATATGTGCTCTTATATTTATCAAATAACTCATGCTGGTAACAAAGCAGACATGCTTGCTTGCAGCCTCAGATGATTGTGAAGTTTTGCACCACCAGAGACTTAAGGAAGACAGTCCAATCACCCATATAGCATAAACCATGTCATCTGGATAGGCAAAGGCTGAATTCACAAAAAGCCAGCTTCAGTCTGTGGGACGTTAATCTGTTGTAGGCCAGGGAGCCAACACACCACCTGCTCCTGTGGCTGTGTCACATCAAGAACCAACTAGACAGGAGATCACAGAATGGGTAAGATTGGAAGGGACCACAGTGGGTCATCTGGCTCAACCTCCCTGCTCAAGCAGGGTCATCCTAGAGCACATTGCACAGGATTGCATCCAGATGGTTCTTGAGTATCTCCAATGAGGAAGACTCCACAAGCCAACACACCACCTGCTCCTGTGGCTGTGTCACATCAAGAACCAACTAGACAGGAGATCACAGAATGGGTAAGATTGGAAGGGACCACAGTGGGTCATCTGGCTCAACCTCCCTGCTCAAGCAGGGTCATCCTAGAGCACATTGCACAGGATTGCATCCAGATGGTTCTTGAGTATCTCCAATGAGGAAGACTCCACAACTTCTCTAGGTGTTCCAGTGGCCAACACACCACCTGCTCCTGTGGCTGTGTCACATCAAGAACCAACTAGACAGGAGATCACAGAATGGGTAAGATTGGAAGGGACCACAGTGGGTCATCTGGCTCAACCTCCCTGCTCAAGCAGGGTCATCCTAGAGCACATTGCACAGGATTGCATCCAGATGGTTCTTGAGTATCTCCAATGAGGAAGACTCCACAACTTCTCTAGGAAACCTGTTCCAGTGTTTGATCATCCACACACTAAAGAAGTTCTTCCTCATATTCAGGTAGAACTGTGCATCAGTTCCTGCCCAATGCCTCTTGTCCTATTGCTTGGCACCACTGAGAACAGCGTGGCTCCATCCTCTTGGCACCACCCCATGCCATGTCCATGCTGGACAGTCTTTAGACAGGTTATACTGATTTTCCACTTTTCACAGCAGATTTATTTATCTGGAAGTTAAAGCAACTGCAGCCAGTAACACAACCACATCTCCAAGCTCAGTCTTAACAAAAAGCATCCTCTATCACTGCATGCTCTCTGTGAGAAAATAGCTTAATCCCAGCAATACCCAGGGAATCCTGGTCACCCCATACAGAGCATCAAGCTAGGCAAAAGTTATTCAGCTGAGGGAAAGCAACACACCCCAGAGGACTTGACTGTGCTTTTATTTTCTAATGATTAGAGAGAAGGGAGCAGAACACAAATGATAGGTCTTAATGCCTGACTCCATCCATATATAGGGTTCTTTTTAGGTCTGAATCAAACTGTCAGTTTGAATGGAATTAATAAATTACAAGACTAGGACTCCAAAGAACTGAAAGTAAATAAAAATATGTTTTCTTACCATTTTTGGATGCAATTAGCCATTTTTTTGCTGTCCCTTCTGGCTCATCAACAACAGAAAAGCTGAAGGGATCACTGTTTGGGTAGCCATCCAAATCACTAGCTGTAACATCAACTAATTTTGCATCTGAACACACAGTCTGCAGAGGATTCACAATAATTGGGCAGTTATCATTCTCATCTTTGACTTCAATGACGACTGTGCCAGTGACGGTTTTCTTAGGCAAATCTAAGATTGTAAAATATGAAAAATTAAATTGATTTGAAAAGTGCAAAAATTTAATCTTAAAATAAAAAAATTAGTATTTTCCAAAACAACAACTTGGCTGAAATAAGCTGAAAAAGATCACCCTGAAGCTTATGAGAGCAGTATTAAAAAATTTACAAAACTATTTTCTGTATATTTACACAGTAATATGCAGATTATAAATGGAGAATTCTGATTAGATACACAAGAAGGAGTCTTTCTTGTGTAACATTCAAGAACACTTATGACTACAAAGTCTGTGATTGGCATACTGAGATATTGCCAATTTCCACTTTGACAACAGGTGTTCTTATCAGACTTATCTTTACATAATTTTTACAAAAACCAGAAACCTTGGGAACCCATTCCAAGGTAATGAGTTGCCTGTGAATTTCCTCTGAATACAGAGCCTATAGGAAACTGTGCTCAGTGCTTAACCTCAAAGACAGGGAAGTTAAACCAACTATTGTTGTAGAAAGGCAAACAAACCCGTTAGTGTGAAAACAAAGCCCTCTCAACTTACCAGTAGTTACACCCAGCATGGTGATAGTGTAGGTGCCATTTACTATATAAGATGATTCATAATCAAGGTTTTTAGCAAGTCGGATTTCGCCTGTGACTGGGTCTACAGTGACCCAGTCTGCTGGATCTTTTCCTTTGATGTATCTGATCAAAATCACATATAAAGATGTACACATTTATAATGAAGAAAACTGCCATCAGCAGAAAATCAGCTTCACAGTAGGTTTACTCTTCATTTAAAGCAGAGATCATATCCCTACTCTGAGGTCTGACGGTCCTGCCACTGTATATGATTTCAACGACAAACTTAACATTTTAAACCTACACTGAATGTTGAAACACATGTTGAAACACCATGTTGAAACCTGCTTTTCCTTCTAAAGCCAAAATTTAGGTGTGGAGACATTATAGAAAGTACATTCAGGGAGTGAGACTGGAACAGGAGTGGGAGTTGAACTGCTGATCACAGTCTTCTTCCCCTGTCTCTGCTCCCAGCAAAAGTAAGCATCAGCCACATAGGAGAGACTGTATTATTACAGGCATGGGGAAGAGGGGTCCAAGCCTGGGTATGCAGCTCTGCAGTGCACCATTTGTAATAGCCATGGTGGTGGTTCAGTAACATTTTAGCTGAAGAGGTATAATTGAAAATCCAAGCACACACATGCAGACATATCTATGTTTCACCCTTTCTGTCCTACTGATAGATGTTTCTGCGTATTTCTTCCTAGTGTTTCTGGACACAGTGAAATCAAATGGGTAAATCTACTCTCAAAAGGAGGCAGGAATGACAAACAGCATGCAAGCAGGGACAACACTTCAGAAATTTCAGATGCTCATGTCTCACCACATACTACAAAACAAGTAGGGTTTTCATGTCAGCTATTTTCTGCATAACAGAATATTGAAGATAATGATAATGATGTTGTTTAAAGTATGAATTAGCAGAATTTTAGTAGAAAATGATTGCCTTTGAAATTACTTCAGTCCAACATGCACATTTTTACAGTAAGATGTGACTTCTGATGTACTCAGTTATGACACTTATAAAATAAAATTTCTTACGTAATGTGCTGTGCTATTTTTCCAGTGTCTTCATCATAGGCTTGATACTGTCCAATAACCTTTGTAATCTGCAGTTTCTCACTTGCTTCAATAATTTTTGTGCCACCAGGGAACACAGGGCCTTCCTGCACATTGATCACCTTAATTTTGATTGGTATTGTTTGTGGTTTGTAACTGTGTTTAATTGACTTGTGGAACTCTGCTTTGTTTGTAACAACAATGCCCAAGTTTAGGCTTTGCATTTTTTCATAATCCAGCTCCTAGAGCAATAAAGAAAAGAATAAAAACAAGAACCACTCAGAATTTGTCAGAATCTGATTATCTAGACAACATGCAGACATTTAATATTTAAATAATACTGTAGCATCCTTATTCAAGTAATAAGGATGGAAGTATTTACGTAATAGTTAGGTACTAAGGATGCTACAATGTGAAGAAGTTTGTTAACATGTTACTCTCACTCTTCTTATTTTTAATGGATGATACCACAGGTATGGCTTTATATTACTGAACTTAGATTCATTTAAGGTACATGCAATGAATCCTACCCATTTATTCTGCCCATATTTTCAGTGCATCAGTGCTCAGTTACTTGGCTCTTCCAATTTTATGCCTTTTTTTTAAAACCCCATTCATTTATTTAATAATGCTCATTTTTTTTCCAATTAGCAGTTTTCGGACAAGGAAACCGGAAAAGGAGAAAGGTACTTAGGGCACTACACATCTTCAGTTCTCATGGACTAAAGGAAAGTGACATTTGTAAATAGACATTTCCATTTATAGAAAATATTTTCAAAATCTCAACTTAAGAAAATTCATAAAATAGTCTGTAGCTCATGACTCATGGAGCAGGTGTTGCCTGCAATGTTATCTGTGGCCAGGGGAAATAAAGAAATTTATACTGAGATCAGCAAGGAGAGCAAAAACAAGTCAAAGTTTATAACATATTTCTAAGCACTGTTGCCCAAAAAACAAGGGAAGTTCAGGGATTTCTGTCCTACTAAATATATTTGAGATCACACAGAATGCAAAAGGAAAAGCTGGACAACATTATTATTTCGCATGGAATTACTGAATACATCAACAAAGGACATGGCAAAGGAGTGTCCACCAGTAAATGTACATTTTACATACTGACTGAATATACAGAAATTTTTGACAACTTAAAGGGAATAAGTTATTCTAACATTTAAGGAAGAATCTCTAAACTCTATACTAACCTTCACAACTGTCAAAATTCCTTCATTTGTTCGGTTATCTGTTACTATACGGAAATAGCCACCTTCATTGCCAGAAACAAATTTAAAGTTTGCCAGCCAGTTATCTGAAAACTCTTCATCTTTGTCAAACACTTTTATTCGCATAATTTCCACGTTTGCTCTGTTTTCTTCAATGCTTCCTTCAAACTGCAATCAAAAAACTCACTCTTTAAAAAGACATAATGATTTACCTCATTTCACCAGTGCAAAAATTTTGCACAATGTCGTATTAAGTAATGTGATACTGACAGGTATAGGAACATGCCAAAAATTGTGATAAATGTACTTACTGCATGGCTTTCAACGACAGGCAGATTGTCATTGACATCCAAAATCTTGATTTCTAAAGAACATGTTGCAGCATTCCCACCTAATTCACCACCACGGTCTTTTGCTTCTACCACCAAAGAGTACCTACTTTGTGTCTGTCATGGTAAGAAAAACAGTGTTTAAACCAGGCTAAAAATTTTTCCTTCATGTATTATCTCTATTAAATTTTGGTAACATCTTTCATGGTCAGTTCGAACTCCTCTCTAGTTAGAAGTAAATCTAACACACAACAATCTTGACAGACTCTGTTAGAGTAGAGATTTGGCTTTGAAAATTATTTGGGATTTTTGCATCTTCCCCACAAAGGGTTAGACTGTACTTATATGGCAAATGAAAAAAATTCAGTGGCGGTAAAAAGGGACAGGACCAGTGACATCAGTACGTCAGGACAGGGCTAGAGGCAGAGCCATGTCCCTCAGCCACAGAGCTAACATCCCCATCACCATCTGCTGGCCACTCAAAATTCATGCAAGCACAGGTAATGTTGCTGGCAATATGTGGCTTTCAATGCTGTTTCACAGCAGCATCTGTCCTAACTTTGCACCTTGATTTGCACAGCAGGCTACAAAAATCCAGGTGCAATTAGCAGCTTTGCAGGTGGTGATTCGAGTTGTCTGCTATATGCTTTCCAGCTGAAAGAAACAATCCCTTGCTTTGTGTAACTGCTGCCCTGGCTGCACTGGAAGGACAGAAAGCAACAGATATTGGGCTGGTGCCGTGCTAGGGAGGTGATGGGAGAATACAAGCTTGATTCTATCACCTTCCCCCTCAATCACTATGTTTCACCCTTTCTGTCCTACTGATAGATGTTTCTGCGTATTTCTTCCTAGTGTTTCTGGACACAGTGAAATCAAATGGGTAAATCTACTCTCAAAAGGAGGCAGGAATGACAAACAGCATGCAAGCTGTTTGTCAATCACTGAAAAATATTTTTCAATCACTGAAAAATATCCATCAGCAGACCAGGCTTTAAACCCAAGGGAAGGGAAGGAAGGTAAGAGGGCTTGCTCTTCACTCTGCAGGCAGGTCGGAGGGTGACACAAAGGCCACAAGACCGCTGCTAACAACATATAATTGGGAGGGTTTTTTTACCTCTCTGTCAAGGTTTATTCTTGCTACTCGAACCTCGCCAGTATCCTTATCCATACTGAATGCAGCACTAGGGCTTTGGGAAACAATCCTGAAAGCAATTTTGGAATTTAAGTTGTTCGGTTCATCTGCATCTGTTGCATTTATCCTCATTACAATTGTACCTGGAAAAAGCAAACAAAATACAGTACTTGTTTACAACACCATGCACTGGCAAATATCTTTATTGTAATGTCAAAGGTAAGAACATTTTGTTAGATGCACTGCACAATTTTCTGGTGCTCTTGACTTTAATGAGTAGAGCTGAAGAAGTGCTCCAAACCACAAATGGTACATGTTAAAATTATAACCTCTAGCCAAGAAAAAGATTGGATTCACACATCTGTAAGTCACAGAATTCAGTGCACCAGAATTAAACAAAGGTTGAATTCTCTCAAAAATTCTGACAGAAAAATATAACTGCCACACAGAGCAGAGAAAACTTTTGAAAAATGAGCTCCATTACCTTCACACCTTATTCTAAAGGGAACACTATTAACTCCTCTAGCTGAACATTATTAAAACAATTGCTCTGTGCAGATGCCCTCTAACAGCCTCACTCAAAATACACAGTGGCCTCCATGGTACAATCCCTTTGTAACTCATGGCACAGGGTTTTGTCCTCTGACAAACAGTCCCTCTCCAGCTCCCCTGTAGCCTTTTCAGATACTGATAGGCTACTATGAGGTCTCCACACAACCTTCTCTTCTCCAGGCTGAACTGCCCCAACTCCCTCAGCCTGTCTTCAGAGATGCTCCAATCCTCTTACCAACTTTGTGGCCCTCCTCTGGACTTAATTCAACAGTTCCATGTCCTTTTTATGTTGAGGGCACCAGAACTGTATGCAATATTCCAGGTGGGGTCTCACGAGAGCAGAGTAGAGGGGGAGAATCCCAACATTAGCTGGAATTTATGCAAAGAGCCATTACATATGGCTGCTACTGACTGGAAAGATTGCTGAGGTTACTCAACATCTCACCTAAGTGGATGACCAAGAATTTGTTTCTTCAGATTATCATGACACTGAAATAGAACAATGCCAGGTACATATAAGTTGTTTTATTTCACCTTTTCTTATGTTTCTGGAAATAATCTGTTGCTCATATGTTTACTGTTGTTAATAGGAAAATGGCCACTGATTTGTCCTTCGATGGTTACGTCACAGGCGTATGTGCTTAACAGCAAAGTGGCTCTCCAGCCCACAGATAAAGCTGGGATTTTGATGACCATGGCAGAGTGAAGTCCCTCGCAAATAGGATGTGATCACTAGCCAGAAGGCAGATAGCATTTCCCATGCAATTCCTGCCAAAGGAATCTAGTTCCTGGACTTGTGGTAGCTTTGACATCAAACCAAAGGTGCCACAAGAGGAACTATTGTTCTCTCTTGCCTTTATGTGGACATTTTCCCTTAATCACACCACACAGCTTAGCCTTGGATAAAAAAACTTGCATTCACATGTCAATAGCCTGGCCTATGTTAGCAAGAAAATGTACCCTTGTTACTGCAGATATGTTGCTGCGAAGGGCATATTCATTTGTGCCCTTGCATGTGTTGGGAAAAGCTAAATAAAAATAAATTCTAAAAATAAATTTACCTGTTTCACTTAATTCTTCAATTGAGCCAACAAAAATTTCATGTGAAAACACTGGAAAATTGTCATTTATATCCACAACTTTAATTGGGAGGTCTATTGGCTCTTCCAGTTTTGCCCCAGTCTTATCCAATGCATGGCCTCTGAGCTGAAATAATATAGGTAGAAACAATTAGCAAATCCAGTGGATGACTGCAACATGTATAAATACATATGCAATATATAAATATATAA